GTCTATTTCTCCATGAGTGCAGTTTGCGAGTGTGTTTGGAGGAATTTGTTGAATTTATCAGCATAAGTTTATTCATGATGCTTATTTATCCTTTTAATAACTGCAGGATATATAGATTTGTGTCTACAATGGATTATATTAGTATTGTCCTTTTTTCTTTATTAAGCTACTGTGTTTATTAATTTGTATTGACTTCCTCAATGAATGAATTTCCTTTTAATTCCTTTTAATTATTTTTCTGTGCTCTATTTTATTGATTTTCCACTAAGATTTTTAATGTTTCTTTCTTTTTTTTATTAGTTTCCCATGCCTGCTGGGACAAATTTTCACAAACTGGTCCCAAGTAAAGATGCCACCTTGGTAATTCCACATCTGAAAGTTCTAACTGTTCCTTGAATCTTCCTGCTTTGCACCTAAGCTTTGACTGCTGGACAAATCACTTCAATCCCTCTCTGCTTTCATACTGAAAATTTCTCTACCTGTATGAGAAAGCCTGATTTTTGCATTAGACCCCATTGAAATGATCAAGGTAAACATTTTTATGTCTGACTATTAATCTAATCACACCTAAAATCCTTTTATCCAAATAAGATAACATTTTCAGGTTCCAGGGATAAGGGCCTGATATATTTGAGGGGTTCTGAAGTCATTGATTTTAAACTTTCCAAATGTTGACAGTTTAAGTACTGCTTTACCTGTATTCCACTAAATTTTATTTGTTGTCTTTTCATTTTCATTCTGTTAAAATATTTTTCCTTTGTCTTTTGGTTTTATTCAGTAGTATTAGGGCTTAAACCAGGACCTCAGGTTTACTAAGCAGTTGCTCTAACATTCAGTCGTGCCATTTTTTGCTTTTTATTTATTTTTCAGGTAGGGTCTCATGTTTTTGCCCAGACTGGCGTCAGACCACTATCCTCTTACCTTCAGCCTCCTGTGTAGCTGGGAGTACAGGTGCATACTACCACACCAGGCTTATTCATTGAGATGGGGAGGGGTTTCAAAACTTTATGTTTAGGTTGACATAAAGAGAATAGAACATACTTTCAATGAAGTGAATCCTTTTGAAATCATGAGATATTTTATGGCCTCAAATATGGTCTGTATTGATAAATACCCTAAGAATATTTAAAAATAATGGTATTCTGTTATTGCTGATTCATGTGTTCCATAAATGCTATTTTTTTATCACAATATGGTCTAAGTCATCTACATGCTTGCTGACATTTGTCTGTCTGTTTTATGAATTGTTGAGAGACAATGTTGAAATCTTCAACTCTAGCTGTAGATTATTTGTTTCTTCTTAGATTCCCTCAATGCCCATTTCAGATATTTTGAAGCTGGGTTTTAAGTGCACACATATTGGGATTATCGTGTCTTCTTGTAGCTTTTTTTCATCATGGAAATACTTTCTTTATCCTTGGTAACTTTTTTTGAATAACATATATGTAGTTTGATGTTAATATAGCTGCATCCAGGCCTGTTTTTAAAAAATAAATACTTAGTAGATTTAAAATGAGCTGCCAAAGAACAATTGTGGGAATTTTCAGAATGAGGTATCAGCTGATACTGATGGGATTGAAAAATAAGGTTTTCAGACGATGAGAATTGAGATAGTTCAACCCATGTCATCCAATTTTACACTTTCTTTTATCTTTTGCCCTTCTCTCCCTAACAAAGTCCTTGCTTCTGTTCCTGCTTCCCCAATTATTACTTCTTGGAATGACTCCTTTCATAACTTTAGTTTACCTAAATTTTATTTATCTTCCAGATAGTTTCTTTCATAAAATAGTCTCATTTACTCTAGCTTAAGTGGTATGTCCTTCCTTCGCAGTTCAGTAACTGTTTTTCTTTTCCTGAAAAATTATTGCATAGAGATAAATGCTGCTTTGAACTAGTCTTTTATTTTTGTATTATTGGTTAGAATGCTCTAGGTCCTTTATAATAATAAATACATGCTACTCTGTGTTGAACATTCTTTGATGTACTTTGAATGTGCTACTTCAAAAAAGCCTTTCAATATCTGTGTGGGCTAGAAATGGTTTTTCCCCTAATATAGAGACTGAGGGGATAATGCACAGGCAGGTTTTAAAACTTGCTGAGTGACATGGTCAATAAGCTGTGGAGTTGGCAATTATGCCTAAATGATGTGGATCCAGAACACAGGCAGCAATCTCCTTTATACCAGGTGTGCTGTTTGGTTACTGCATTACTCTCTGCTGATAGAAAAGAAGGCTCAACTATAATTTCACTGAATCTAGGGGAAAATAGGACATGTAAATAAAGGAGGACTAATAGGGACTTGGTAGGGGATAAGGGAGGACAAAAAGGATAATCAAGGGGATAAAGGATAATCAAGGGGGTTAATGTGATTAAAATACATTATGTACACATTTGAAAATGGCATAATGAAACCCCTTACTTTTTACAATTAATATATGTTATTTAAAAAGGAATTGCAAATGAAGAATTGGTTTCCTGTTAAAGAGAATCTTAGTGAGGAAAGACACACACAATGTTTTCTTAGGACTATTTTCTTTGAAATAAGTGTTAGAAAATAATACTTGGTCCAAATACTACTGAGATCATTTTAATTTTGTCCCTTCAGGTGTAAGCTTTTGAGGTTTAAGTTCTTTGGGGACCTGGCTCTAAACTAGTGCAAATTCCCAAGAAAAGTTCCCTTATCTTGTGCAGTTTGTGAATCAATGTTCAGGTCATGATTTCGCTTCATGTTCAGGCCCACCAAAATGAGATACATCTTTGCCAACTGCTTAGAAAGTCTTGCGTCTTGGAAATGTCATCACCATGAAGGACGCTGGACATTCCATACATCTAGAAAATGATCCTTTCCTTTTGAGGTAGGTAAAAAGAATAATTAATAGGTTTCCCAAAATTAATAAGTGTGCTGAATTTTGAACAATATGAAGTTTTTCAAGTATTACATTTGAACCTCAATATTAGTTTGAACCTTAGGACACAAGTTTTCACCCTAGGTTCTCTAAGGGGAGGAGACTTTGCATTTTGTTCACATCCTCATGACACTAAGCAATTGGTTTATGTGAACATTCTGAAATAAATTGCCTATGTTTTCACTATAGAGATACTTCTAGCAACAAATGCACTGTAGTTTTGAAAATTGCGAAGATATTTTAAGTGCTTTCACACTTTTCTATATCCCTTTAAAGGAGGAACAAAACATGGTAATTCTTTGTGGTAACATGTAAGTTAATTGACCTGAGTTAACTATTCCACAATGTATACATATTTCAAAACCATATTGTACATGTAAAATATATACAATTTTATTTTCCAATCAAGAATACCTAACTCTATAAAAAAGAGAGAGAAAGAATGTTCATGAAAAATCTAAGACCATAAAAAACAAGACCTGGGAAAGGCGTAAGTATTATCCTAATCTCTTTATAGAAGACATGAAATGACTTTTATTCAAATAACTACCTAATTACCTACCTTCCTATCTACCTAATAACCTATCCAGTTAACTAGTGATTGTACCAAAATTGGAAACAGTTTGCACTAAACCTTATCACCAAATACTTAACTTGGTATATTTGGAACACAATAAAATAAGCATTTCTGCAATAAGTAACAATCCTAAACAATCCTACAGTAGTATTGTGACTGCATAAAAGCACTTACAAGACATAATGAAAATTGAAATGATAATGAGAAAGTAATCATGACTCAAACAGAAGAAATCACTATTAACCATTTGAAACATTTTATAGGGTTTCAAGAATAATTATTCTAGAACTTGAGTGGTATATTGCTTTTAATTATAGAGGTCATTAATTGGTTAGTCTGTAGAAACCAGATTTGTTTCATATGAATTATTCCATATAATCATCTTCTTCTAGAAGTTTTAAACACCTTTATTTGTTCTTTAACTAATGGGTCCTCAAAAATATTTTCTTGAAGAATTTTCCTGAATAAACTATACATTTGGCATTTGACATACACCGTTAATAGAACTGATTTTCTAATATGTGCCTTAAAAGAAGTTTGTGTACAACATAGGAAATTATGTAAAACAAGGTATGTATTTTGCTCAGCAGATGCTTAATTTTCTGCATAATTTCTGCAATAAGTTAGACTGCCAAAATTAGTCAGATAATTTGATCCTTAAAGCAGGATCAAATTTCACAGTTGAGAGAAATTTTTACCCCATTTACTTTCATCCCAATTTTTCACACTCTATCCTTTGGTTCTAATGCCTATTTTAAGTTCACATCTGTCATGGGGTAAGTCTCTTCTGTCTTAGGGCAGGTGGAGATTATCAAGTTAATGAAATAAGCCAGACTCAGAAAAACACTACATGTTTTCTCTCATTCGTGCCATATATATATAAATAAAAAGATATGAATATGAACAGGAAAGTATTTCAGAGGGGATCAGTGGGGCATGGGAAGAGGAAAAGAGAGGACAGGGGATAATATGATCAAAGTATATTCATGCATGTGTGAGAAGAGCAAAGCGAAACTCATTAAAATAGGAAACTTGTGCTCAAGTTGTAGAGCACCAGCCTAGCAAGTGTAAGGCCTTGAGTTCAAACCTCAGTGCCATAAAAAAATGAATAATAAAAGAAACTCATTGCAAGAATGTAAAGAAAAAAGAGGAGTGTTGGGGAGATGGGTGAAAAGAAAGAATAATAGAGGGGTGAATATGGTCAAAGTACATTGACTGTATGTATGGAAATATCACATTTAAACCCCTCAATTTGTACAATTAATGTGTGCCAATAAGGAAAGGAAGAACTTTCTGACAATGCACAACTCTAACATTGTTTATGAACATGGAGAGTGATTCCATTACAAATATAATTTTATATTCTGAGGGAGTTTAGAGTGCAAAGGTGGATCATTGTGGATGGAAGCAGAGAATACAGAGATCATTGATTTAAAATATTATTTATAGTTACTAATGATTGCAGTTTTGTAATAAAATAATTCTTTCTTATTCTTAAAACCAATTCCAGCTGACCAATGGAAGAGAAGAATCAGACAACAGTGACTGAGTTTCATTTTTTGGGCCTTTCCGATCTTTTCCATCAGAAGATTGTCATTTTCATTATGCTTCTCTTTGTTTATCTTGTCACCATGGGGGGTAACTTGGGGATGATCATTCTCATATGGATTGACCTCAGGCTCCACACTCCCATGTACTTTTTTCTTAGCCATTTGTCTTTTGTAGATATTTGTTCCTCTTCTTCCATTGCTCCTAAGATGCTGTATGATATCTTTGCAGAGAAAAAAGGCATCTCTTTTGTGGGCTGTGCTACACAGATGTGGTTCTCTGGTCTCTTTGTGACAACTGAGTGTTTTCTTCTGGCTGTCATGGCATATGACCGGTTCACAGCCATCTGTAAGCCCTTGCTGTATACACTCATTATGTCCCAGGACATCTGTGTGCTCCTGGTTATAGGACCTTATGCTATTGCTGCTATAAACATCACAACTCATACAACATTGATTTTTCGCTTACCCTTCTGTGGTTCAAATGGAATCAACCACTTTTTTTGTGATATTTCCCCATTGCTCTCCCTAGCATGTGCTGACACCTGGATCAATAAGTTGGTTCTTTTTGTCTTGGCTGGAGCTATAGGAGTGGTCAGTGGTCTGATCATCATGGTCTCCTATGTGTGCATCCTGGTGGCCATCTTGAAGGTCCAGACAGTTGGTGGTAGGAAAAAAGCCTTCTCCACTTGTTCTTCTCACCTGGCAGCTGTATCCATCCTGTATGGGACACTTTTTTTTATCTATGTTCGGCCCAGCTCAAGTTCCTCCCTGGATATCAATAAAGTGATTTCTGTGTTTTATTCTGTGGTGATCCCCATGTTGAATCCTCTCATCTACAGCTTGAGGAACAATGAAGTGAAAGACGCATTCAGGAGAAGGTTGAAAGGATACTATTTCTATAATAGGCAGATAAAGTAGTATTCAATTTGTGTAGTACCACAGATATTCCTGCAAAGAATAGTGGATTGAGAACAAAATGCTCTACATGAGACCTGCTTCTGCTTGTTTAGAGTTTATTTGAAAAATAGAGAAATGGTTAAATACTTTTGGGGCTCTGTCTTGTTGTCTGTGACAGATTAGTATTTCAAAATAGTTTAAAGGTGATTTGAAACTATAAATTTAAAGTTTTATAGAACAAAATAGGCGAGTACTTTTAATCTTGAGTGTGTGAGTACTTTTAATCCAGTAATGAAAAAAGATTTTTTTAAAGAAATTTCCAAAGTACTACAAAGAAGATTATGAGAAAAGCAATAAAATGACAGAAACTATTAGTGAATGAACCAACAAAGATAAATATCCTAATAGGCAAAGAACAGGCTTAAGTCCAATCTCAAAAAGTTAAAAATGATTACAGGTAAACGAGATGATAAATGAACAGGCAATTCTCCAAAATGGGGATGTGTGTTACCAAAAGTATATGGAAAACATTCAGCATCATCCATGGAAGTACCTTTTGATAAAGATTAAACATTAATAGTTTTCCACTGATGGTGAGGTTCTTATTTGGCTATGTGTACTCATTATTTGCCTATGAGAGTATGAATGGCTCAATTTCCTTAAAGAAATTTGATATTTCTGATTTAAGATCACAATTTTGAACATCTTTTTTTTCACTACTTTTTATTTTGTATGACTAATATATGTTAATATACGTGTTAATGAGGTTTAGTGTGATATTTCAACATGTATAGCAATTTCCCTGATCAGTTTGGGGTAATTAATGTTTCCATTTCCTTATTGACTTTTTATATTAATGTCTTTAAGCTCTTCTCCTTTAGATCTTCATAAAATATATAACATGTACAGTTAACTGCAGTCATCACACTTTGCTGTGGAATATCAGAACATATTCCTCCTACCTATCTATGTTTGTTACTATTCACTCATCACTCTTAATCCACCCTTATCCTATCCCATTGACTTAGTAAACCTTCTCTGGAAATCTAGACCACAGAATATTTCAATGTATAAAGATTATATATATTGCAGCATTATGTGTAATTGCAAGAATAAAGGAAATAACATGCTTGTTCACCATTAGAATTAAAGAAAAAATATTCTTACTGTGTAACAGATACAAATAACACTTGGACAGGACTATTTGATATGGTCATTCTTAGGTGAAAAAAATCAACTTGTAGGTGAGTTTGCAATACTGATCACATACTTTAAAAGGTAAAATCTATATGGAGAAAATGAGCATATATATGTGTGTACATATGAACACAGTGAGGAGAATGAAAGGTATACATTTGCCTGTGGAAATTGGTTACTTCAATGGGAGTGACTTTGGAAGTAGGAATACACAGTTTTATGTATACATGTTTGAATTACAGTTTATTAATCTCTGATAGTACCTGGGTTTAATTCTTTATAAAATTCATGGCTACATCTAACTTTATTTATGGAATGATTGTTATGGCAAGCAAGCAATCCTTGTACAAAACAGCATTCCCTGTCTGTATAAAAACAGACGAATAGTGGATTCTCAAAAGCCAAAAAATTCTTGGCTGAAAATGGCATGGACTTGCTCCTGAATCCTAGGAATTGAATTAATCTTCAACTGTGGCTTCCATAAGCTCCAGATTCTTTTTTCACTACTATAACTTTCAATGCCATAAAGTCTTCTATGTCATATAACCCAAATGGCAGTGCTATTTCTGTTGAAAGTGCCTTTTATGCTCTTCATCCCACTTAACACTGTCAGCCTTCTGCGCCATTTGATCTATGGGCGGAAAATTATTCTTTTTTGTATAATATATTTCCTTAAAACTCAAAGAGGTCTAAAAAAGTGTTTCTTTCTTTGGTGGATTTCACATTGGAGTCAGTGTTCTATTGTGTCTCTTCACACTGATCCTATAAAAGCTTTCCCAAAGTGTAAAATTCCTGTATTGTTGTAGAGTTTATCTCAACTCTGGAGCACATGTTTTCTAAGGAGTTCAATATTTTAGCACTGCTTGAACAATTTGCTTTATGAGTATGAGGTTATCAATGTAACGGATTAGCATGTAGCATGGTATTTGGGACTGCTATTGGATCCGCTACTTGGTTGAACTTAAGGAAGTCTACGGTCATTGTCCAGCAGTTATGTAGATTCTGCAGGGGTCAGACTTCTGAATTTAGAAAGAGGAGAGTGATGATCTCCTCTGAAAATATCATGTCTTTAGTGGTGGTATTAATTTCCAGATTCAGGTGTTAGGGAATCACTTCATTCCCATTGGCTTTAGGAAGCCTAGATTCACAGAAGCATCTCATACCACTGAGCTTCTATCCAAGCTGTAATCTCTCTCACTAGTGATTTCCAGAATTGCTGTAGTGAAAGGAGTGTCCTTGGAGTCTTCTCAGGAAAAACAGTTATCACATGACATATTCTTTGTTCTCATGTAATAGATTCTTTTCAAACCCTCTATATTCTGAGCCCTTTTACAGTTATCAGATGACACATTCTTTGTTCTCACGTAATAGATTCTTTTCAAACACTATATTCTGAGCCTTTGATCTCTTTCTTCATCTTTTGAAAGGAAAATTACTATTATCTCACTGTATTTTTTTCTGAGATCAAGGAGTCATCCCATAGTGAATTAGAATCAGTTCCCGTGTCTTGCCTACAAAGTAATTCCTGAGTAATTGGGTTTCTTTCAATGTTTTCGTATCTTCTTTACCCAGCATGGTTTCCTCTCACTCTTAAGTAGATTACCCTCAAAATGTACGCTCGTGTGTTGTCTGAGTGCATGTTGCCAGTCATGTGAGACAAACCCTGCAACTGCTCCGCAGAATAATCACTGCCTTCCCAAGAGGACAATGCTTCCTAGTCCTTGACCACAACATCCTGGCTTAACCTTTGGCTGGTAAATATAACGGTATGGAGGTAGGCAGGGCTATATATTGAGTAGTTATTTTCTTGTGAAGCGTCGCACTCAGGTGAGACGTCCTCACATTCTGTCAGCGAAGAAAGGCTGCTTTATTCCACCAAGAGGTAGTGGGCCACACAGATGTTTTAGCCTTGATTTTCAGTGCCTAAATCTTTCAGACTCTGACTTATTCACAAGAATTACAGATGCTATGAATTCAGATTCTTTATTATTATTTCTTCTGTAGTGCCATTTGTTTAGTGTCATCTCTTCACCTATGCTCAAGATCCCCTATAATAGTAAATGCATTTACCAGTACTGTGTTACTCTTTGTTGGATGATCTTTGAACTACTTCAACAAAGCCTTCTGGCATCTATATGAGCTAGAATCTACTATTTTCCTTAATTTAGAGATTAAGGGAATAATGCACAGACGGGCTTAGAAACTTGCTGAAAGTGACACAATCAGAGGACTATGGAATTGGGAATTAACAAAAGTGATGTGGCTCCAGAATTCAGGCACCAAACTCCTTGATCCCAGGTGCTGGCTGCTTAATGCATAGCATCATTCTCCACTAATGGAAAAGAAGGCCTGGCTAAAATTGAATTGCATATAAAGAATAGGACATGAAAAATAAAGGATAGATAATTAGGACATGAAAGAGGACAAGGAGGAGGGAAAACAAGAAAAGTCATTATCTTAAGTGAAATTAGCCAGGTTCAGAAAACCAAATACTGCATGTTTTTTCTCAAATGTGGAATATAGGCCCAACAAAAATACAAGCATATTATATATATACACATGTATATACAGAACATGCACTCAAAAGTGAGGCTGGTAGAGGACACTAAGGGAGGAGTGAAAGAAATAAGGAAAAATAGTGAATAATAATGAAATACACCACATCTGTGTAAGAACAAGACACCACCAAACACACCAAAAACTTAAACAACACAGTAGAGGAGGAAATGGTGAGGAAGTGCAGTGGAGTGGGTTAGATTGACATAAGCAAAATGCATGTACAGGTATAAAACCAAGGCAAAAATCCCACTGAACAAGAACAGACACCTGAACAATGAAGGACAATAATGGAAAACAGTTCACACTAACAGGAGGGGTAGGGTAAAAGAAGGAAGTAAATTAAGTGAATAAGGGTGATGTACTGTCTATATAAGTATGAATATAGAATTTTTAAACCTGTTGAAACCACATTAGGGGGCTAGGGTAGAAAGGAGAAAAGTGGAAGGGATGAACAAATAGGGTCATAATATACATATAATATATAATATATGAATAAAATATATTATATTATATAAATTTCCCTATATTATATATATGGAAATGCCATAATGAAACCTCCTGTATAGATATCTTAAAAAACAAAAATATCTTTTTTCAAAATGAAGGATAGAAAGGTCAAGTAGGTCCTATCTGGGGGTTGGTACCAGTGGGGGGAAGAACATAAGGAAAGGGTGAAGGAGGGTGAATATAATAGAAATATTTTATACTTATGTATGAAATGGAAAAATGAGACCTGTTGAAACTATTCAAAGAAGGGGAGAGGAGAGAGAAAAGAGAATGTTGAAGGGGGTGAATCTAACTAAGACATATTGCAAGCACTTTTGTAAATGTCACAATGTACCTCCCAGTACAGTAACAAGAGCTAATAAAATAAAAAAGATAGGACAATCAAGGCGGTGAATATGATCAAAATACATTATATGCATGCATGCAAATAAATCTCTTCACATATAATTAATATATGCTAATTGAAAAAGAATTACAAGTCCAAAACAAGAGGCTTTCGTGGCAAGGAGGAAGCCCAAAGAGGAAAACACATACACACACAGACACAGACCCACAGACACACACACACAAACACACACACACACGCACATTTCTTTAGGCATCTTTGTTTTGAAATTATACACAGTTGGAAAATAATATTTGTCCCAAATGCTATTGAAATCATTTTAATTTTGTCCCTTCAGGAGTAAACCTTTGAGGTTTAAGTTCTTTGGGGGATTTGGCTCTAAATTAGTGTAAATTTCCTAGCAAAGGGCCCT